AGGTGCATTCAACAAAATGTGTAACATATCACAACATAGAAATATATGTGACATATATTGGCCTTGTCATCCTTGCTATGTGACACCTCAAACATTGAACCAAAAAGTGTTTGGCTCTTGTGACAATGTTGAGCATCCACTTGAATTTGTTGTTATTTAGCAACAGTGTACATGAAAGCCAAGTGGACACTGCACTTCTTACACTGAAGATTATTTAGGAAAGAAATGTTTAGACATTGTCCCTGAGCAGATGTGTAAAGTATGAAGTTACACATTAAATAAAAACTCTTCAGACCTTTTTGGAAATCATGGCCTTTATCAGGTTCTCTGTTTTTCTCCCCCTCAGATGCCACCAGCCTCAATATGGATCCAGACACAGCACACCCAAACCTCGTTCTTGATGGGACCAAGAGTGTGACACACGGAGACAGGCAGTCATATCCTGATAACCACCTGAGATTTGACCATGTCTACCAGCTTATGTTCAAAGAAAGTTTGACAAAGCCACTACTGGGAGATGAAAATGAACATTGAAGAAGATAAAGATACTGCTTTTGGTGTTTCTTATGAAGGAATACACAGGAAAGGTGGTTTTAGTAAATGGACTGGCATTGGTATAAGTGCAATGAACTGGTCCTTGGGGTGGAGGTGGAACAAAAACACAGGACAACCCACATTCTACATAGAGCATGAAGGAACCTGCACAAAAAACCCATTCCCAAGACCGGCTTATCCCGTGTTGGGTTTTATCTGGATTATAATGCCGGTTCTTTGTCGTATTATGCAGTCAGAGGTGACAGAGTGGATCACATTCACACTTTCCGTGACAGTTTCTCTGAGCCCGTTACCCAGGTCTGAAAATGTGGGGAAAAAACAGCTATGTGGGCCTGTGTCTGTAATGACATTTGGTTCAGTTTGACACACAAAAAAATGACTTAAACAGAGATGTGTGTAATGAAAGCAAAAGTTTACTAGGTAATTTACATCAATTAATCAATCAATTAATCAATCAATCAATCAATCAATCAGTTTCAGACTTCACATCTCTATTTTTGAGTTTTGATCATAATTTATGTATGACCCTCATGCTGCAATAGAATAAGACTAAAAACAATACGTAGAGTTTTATTTGTCCCTCCTCTATAGTTTTACTGTCACGTTAAAGTGCGACAATTTTAAAACGGCCCGTTTGACTAAAAGCTGAGAATAAGAAAGCAAAGATGAGGAAAAAAAATTTTTCTCACCTGCAGACAGGTTCTGTCCTGCAGTCTGTGTGACTCAATGCATTCCCTCTTTGCCAGAAAGGAAGTAATGAATCTAAAGATAGTTGTTTTTTTCTGGGTGAATTTATTTTTCTTCTCGCAGTAACACAATTCTTCTTGTAATGAACTGAAACTGAAAGCTGAAAATCCAGTTGGGTTTTCAGGCGATGGATTGGCCGGGCTTGGATTTATTATCAGTAATGGAATTTGTACTGCAGAGGTTTTTGGAACGGTTCAGACACCGTGAAACATTTACTAATTGCCAAATAATGGCTGTTTTTTTGTTGTTGTTGTTGTTGTTGTTGTTGTTGTTGTTTTTGCTCTTGTATTGTTTCTATAGGTAGTACATACCCAAATGAAAGGCAAAATAAGAACATTTTGCATTATATGTCTCCTTTGTCATTAACTGTGCAACTTTAAAACAATTACTTTTTTTTTTTGCAAGAAAAGACTGCTTGCATCTTTTTGTTTTAATTGCTTTTTGTTCTCTTATCACATGTATGGGATATATAACAGTGTATAATCTTCCATGATTTTACATATGCTTGACATAGGAAAAAATATATGATGTTGCAATAGTTATAGATTTCATGTTACGATTTCTTTCTTTCTTTCTTTTATTTTTTTTTACCATTTTACAGCTTTGGTGGGGGTTTATAGTTTTTGTGGTTTTTGATATTCAGTTTTTCTTGAATTCATGTTGTTATTGATTCTTAACTATTAACAGTTCTGCTTTCTTTATTCATTTCCTGCCACATAATGTGGATGTTTGACTATTTTTGAATGACATGATTGCTTTTGAAAAAAAAAAGTTATTTTATTTCTTCACTCATCTGACTGTTCTCATGCTTGTAGTCTAATGTTGGGAAATCTAATAAAAAGAATGCAAATAGACCTCTGGTTTTCTGTTGTCTCGTTATATTGTTATATGTTATATGTTCATTGGTTAAAACTGACATGTGGGTCCTTCTTGATCCAAAACACATCCGTGGCTTTAGAGTTACACCGTCGAGGAGTTTTGCAGGTATTGACATTTTACCGCTCAGCAGTAACCGCTGTTACCTTCCTAAAGAGAGACGGCACTTGTCATGCATTTCTTAAAAGAAAAGAAAATGGTTGTGCACCGCTGCATAGTGCCTCATTTAGGCTATTATATTAGCCATGCTAGTGCTGATAGATCGTGTTTTAGACAGATTCTTTTAACATAATGTTTTAGTGACATGCTGCCCTCTAATGTTTTATATCTCCCAGCTCTTGCTTGAAATGTGTGGTAAGAATATGTGAAAAACCATAAAGTTTTATAATGACTGAAATGTAAGTAGGCCATGTCATATGAAAGCTTTGAATTATAACCTAACTAGTTATATTAATTAATTTTAATTAATGTATTTTTAATTTAGTATTTTAGCTAGCTACAGAAAACTAAAAACTATAGTTTAAATAATAGTTAAAATAGTGTTGTCTCTGCCAAACAGTCATGGAGTGTAAATACCAGGCTCTTATTTTGTGTAGAGAAAAGGGAAGATCTCCCAGTTCTTCTTAAAGAGGCAAAAACCAGGGCCAGACCAGGACCAGACAGAACCTGCAGCAGTGACCAGGACCAGACAGAACCCTGCAGCAGGGACCAATCTGGAGAATCCAGCCAGGAGACTCCAGGCCCAAGTGGATCACCAGCGGGTTAGAGGCTGTGACAGAGAGTTGTTAAGTAGTAAAATCCAATAAGCCTAATTCTAAAGGTTAGCATGATGCTTTTTGCATTTTTTATTGTGTCTGTTTATGCATTTCCAATTGAGTTCCAGAGAGAGATGAGGGTGATACAGATTCAGAGTCAGACTCTGGGGAGGAAGACAGTGAAGCAGAAGGAAATGGCACTGAACTGCCCCCACCCAGCACAACCTATTGCACACCAGAAGCACCAGTTTATTTATTTATGTATTTTTGAGAATTTGTTTTTGGTCATATTCTGGGCTCTGAGTTTACATTTACATGTTCACTGTTCCATAGTGCTGTTTAACGTCTTGTTTGGTCATGGCAAATCTTAGTTAAATAAACCATTTTAATTTGAGTGTGTGTGAGAAAATATTTTTCATTTCGTTCATCATTTGTATATGGACCCTCTGATAAAGCCTTGCCCACCCTTTGGCCACCCCTTGAAAAAAAAGTCTAGCTCCGCCACTACCAAGAAATGCAGCATGCCTTCCGAGAATTGCATACCCTTTTCGCTCAGCATATACGCCCTAGTTCGTGCAGTGCTCGTGCAAGGCGTTGTCCAGTGAAAATGAATGGTGTGCATGGGTAGTGCTTATAGACCTAGAGTCAAAGCATGAGTTGTGGACTTTTGCTTATCTGTGTTCCCATGCGCGGCCGGCCTTGAGCCCCGCCCCGCATACCCTCGCCCTATTGCTATATAAACAACTTACTTTTTCCCTCTTTCAGTAATGCCTGGGTACACTGCTACCTGTCATCTCGACAACTCTCTGAGTATAAACCTTGTTAAGCCTATTTTCACTTCTGATAACGCTCTATACGAAGATTACTTTGTCTGTGCTGATTCATCTGCAGCATCTCCTTTCCATATTCACGTCGCTTTCATCTGTACTTCTGCAAATTACCGCCGTGTTATTTTCGATTTACAATCTGCTACTCTATTTACTTGGTCTCTCGTTCGCCAGAAAGCTTCCATTAAAGTGCCTCGCACTCCATCTGGGCGTCTGAAACAGATTAACTTCGCTTCCTACGTTTCTATTTATTTAATTCCTAAAACTTGTTATGGTGTTTTGGTAAACGCAGTGTTACAAATAAAACACAATACATAGCAAATCCTATGAAGCTTACCGACAACAAATCTGAGGTCCCGCGACAAGGGTATGCAATTCTCGGAAGGCATGCATTTCTTGGCATAACATGGTTCCTGCCAAAATTTGCATCCCCAGCTATTTTCATCAAATATTATTAAATTGATATTAAACTCATACCAGTATTTCATAGAACTGCTCTGGTTATGTAGAAAACTCTTTATTTCCACATGATAGCTGATAATGGCAAAGCCTATTATCAGCCTGCCAAAATATGCTTGGCCCTCTCTATTTTCCTCAAATGTTGTCCTATTGATTTGAAACTCATACCAGCAATTAAGGGAACAAATGTGATCATGTAGAAAAAGTTATTTCACTCCTAATGTTTTTTTTTTAAGCTGGGGGGGAGAGGGGTGCATTTTTTGGCAATATAAATTTTGAGCTGCCGATATTTGCATGCCCTGTTTTAAATAAACATGATAATGTTACGAATATCTTTAAAAGTTTCCTCTTCGGTCGGATATCAGCCCCTTTTCTCATCAAAATGCGAGTTTAGAGCGATGCGCGCTCCCGCGACAAGGGGATGCAATTCTCGGAAGGCATGCATTTCTCGGCATAACACTTGTTTAACCAGAATGTGTGTAATGTTCACTCAATATGTAACAGAGTAATGTCTGAAACTGTTTTCAAATTTTATTATTACACTGAATACGAGAATAGTAACATCGTGTCTGTTTTCATTGTTCCCCTTTACAGGGGCCTAACATCTAGTCATTTTTTAAACATTTTAAATTGTATTATTAGCCATTTCCTAACTGTTCTATTTCTTTCCCATACTTATCACGCTTTCTATTAAAATTTACAATTATTCCTATTGCTGAAACGTCTCAGAACGGGTTCATTATTCATGCCATCATTATTCCTGTGTGTCATCCAGGTGTTTGTCTGACTGCCTGCTAGCTCAGTGCTAGGCTCTCCCATCCCAGATTCACACACACCTGCCATCCTCCCTGCATGAAACATTCCTTCTTCATCAACATTTCCTCTCCTTCTCACCAGGAAGCAGCAGCTAACCTGAACTCTTCCTCAATGCGTCAACATATTGATGAACAGATAACATTAATATTTCACAACACATGGACAGATTTGAGTCATGTTATCAAATGTTTTTTTTAATGCAGGAAACATGGACAACGGTGTCACTCAGGTTGCTGCTCTTGGTCGACCTTTCACCTTAGGCATGCTGTATGATGCTAATAAAGATCAAATCATCCCAGGTAAGAATGAACTTCTTGAAGTCTATTAGCTGCACCTGTATGTTTTTGAACAAAGAAGACACTGTTGTCTAATCTTTTCAAATCACTAATTAGCCCTCTATGGCATGAATTTTTATTTTATGAGGAAACAAATATTTCACCCTAGTTTTGGGAGTTTGAGGGGGTCTTTATAATATATCAATCAGAACATGTGCTCCACCCTGTCCCCCACCAGATTTTGGTTTGTTGTCTCAGGGCAACAATATGCTATGAGGCTACTAAAACGCCAAGGTTTTCTTTATACTGTAGTATTTATTTAATAAGTGGAATGATGAACAAACAATCAATAAATACATTAGAAGAAGTTTTATTTCAACAACAACAATTTCAACAAGTTTCCTTTCAACAAACAGCCACAAATGGTTTATCAATTAGTGCATTAGAGATTAGCTGCATGCAGGTGCCTGGTAATCCAAACATCCATCCATCCATCCATCCATCCATTTTCTGAGCACCTGGAAAGCAGCTGGAGATGGGCACCAACACCTCCCGACCCCGTTAGGGAGAAGGGTGACCGGATAATGGGGATGATTTTGGAAGACTGGCCTGCCATTCTGGGTAATCAGTGATATTGGCACTGTGGGGTGTTCTCCAATGGGGTAACCGTGGAACAGCTTCCTGTGATACTTCATCATCTTCATTTTCCTCTTCATCCACAAACTCATTGTCATCAGGCAGGTCATCTGTTTTCAAAAGAAACCAGTAAGCATAAAATTAGAATAGGTCATATATACCTCTCTTCACTCACTGATGTACAAAGCACATACATGCTCATTCCATACAGTATGCTACTCTACTGACTGAACCCTGATCTCCTAACTCTCCCTCAAGCCTGATTTTGGAGTCAACTCTTCCTCACTGTCACTCTCCTCAAGCTCACTGTCAGAAGGAATGAGCCTAACCGCTTGATCATGTTCCTTACACCGATAAATCTTTGTGCGTCTATTTCCTGTGAGTAACAGTAGATAGCACAGGAAAAAATTGATTATGTTGATAACTACACATCCCTACACATCTCCATCCATAAGCATGTTATAGTTCACACAAAAGTGGTCTAATTGCACAATATTGCCCTGAGGCAACAAATGAAAAACGGTCATTTTAGTATATAAATGAAGACAAAAGGTGTCTTTACTCAATCAAATTGTCAGGTTCTGTGTTTTTCTGTGTTTTATTCTGAGTTTTCTGTGTCTTGAGTTCTCCTCGTTGTCCTGTCTTCCCCTTGATTATTCCCAGGTGTCTCTCGTTCCCTTGATTACCCTCTGTGTATTTAGTCCCTCCTGTGTCCTCTGTTCCTCGTCGGATCCTTGTCAGATTGTCAATCGTCGTTCTTTTGTCTTTGTTTGCCGCCTGCATGACTAGATGCTACCGGTGTGAGCCCTGGCTTCCGCTCAGCCGTGCTGCTGCCTAGCCGCGGACAACTTTATTGACTGTGTTTTTTTTGAACTGATATTCTTCATTAAATTTCATTATTCACCTTACCTGGGTCTCCAGCGCCTGCCTCACCATCTTCACCACCACATCTCATGACACAAATATGCTTTTTAACTTATTCATGCACATCTCACATTATTTATACAAAATTATTTAAATTTAAACATGTAAAAAAGTCAAATTTATCTTACCTTCTGCCAGCGGTGTGTCCAAGTCAGCTGGGGTCCAATAAAGGATTGTTTCACCCCAAGACAAAGGTCAAAGCCACGTCCAGCTCAAATTTCATTGGGCACAGACATATCATCAGACTTTTAATGTGATGTTTTACTTAAAAAAATTTAAAGGGGCGGTGTGTGGGTCAAAATAGTGGTTTGTTGCCTGAGGGCAACACAATGCCATAGAGGGTTAAAAAATTTTATGAAAAAGATACTCATAGATTTGTGTATAAGAAGTGACATTTTGTATTATATTCTGGATTGAACAGGCTGCAGGAAAAGACAGGGTAAAAGAGACAAAAATAAAAAACAAAAATACCTATTTAAAATTATTTGCAGAATTGTTGCTACAGATATGTGAATAGCACTCTACAAAAAGTGCATTTGGCCTGTAGTTCATGTTGTGGACTTATATTTATATTAGTTTCACTTAATTCTTTGGGTTTAGCGATGACAGCTTACTTTTTGTGTTGAATTAACTTAAAAGTTCAAACATTTACTTAAAGAACTTTTTATTTCAGCTTCACTTGAAATGCTGTGTTCATATCCTATGTCTGATGTCATGACAAAAGATATTGTACCAGTCAGGGAGCTGTGGTGGTGCAGGAGTAGAAAACGTCTCACAAAAGGATGCCTTAGTCCTCGACATGCCATCGCTGGTTCAGTTCCTGGCCTGTTGACCTTTGAGCTTTACAGCATGTCATCCCCCTCTTTCACCACCCTGTGCAAAAAAAAGCCACCTGAGCCAAAAAACACTGGTAAGAAAAAAAAAGAAAGAAAAACCACCAACAGACAAATTTGGCGCTAGAGAGCCCTTAAGGTTTTGCGGCATAATTGAGTACTATAAGCCTTTATTAAGGTGGCCACGGCACTTTCCACATACCGCCCCCCCCCCCCCCAAAACAACTTATTTTCTGCAAAGCTCAGAAGTGAAAAAATTATGTTAAAAAAAGTTGTACTGTTTCCCTAAGAACCAATTTATAACCGGCAAGACATATAATCCAACAGAGAAGCAAGAATATGTTTTTGTTTATCTTAAATACCTTAACTGTGTTTCCTTCTAATTGGTTTTCTGATATCATGTTTTAAAGGTGTCACTCTGTGGGACGAAACGATCCTACAAGACATGATAATGGAGAATTCTCAGCATAGCAGTGATTTTAAAATCACCTCCTCCGATTCCTTGGACACGAAGTCCAACCTGCTGGATGTGAACGCCTCCCTAAAGGCCAGTTTTCTGGGTGGTCTGATTGAAGTCGGAGGATCCGCAAAGTTTCTGAATGACCAGAAGAAATCCCACAATCAAAGCCGCGTAACCTTCCAGTACAAATCCACCACCACTTTCAAACAGCTGAACATATCGGCTGATGAGATGAAGAAGCAGTTGACAATTCCTGATGACGTGAAGAGTTCGGCCACTCATGTTGTCACTGGCATCCTTTATGGTGCAAATGCGTTCTTTGTGTTGGACAGCAACAAGGTGGACACGAAAACCCTTCAGAAGATTGAGAGCAACCTCCAAGCTACCATAAACAAGTTCCCTGGAATAAGTGTGAGTGGAGAAGTCAACATCAAACTGTCTAATGAAGAACAAGCTGTTGTTGACACATTTTCCTGCACATTCTACGGAGACATGATTCCTGAAAAAAACCCTACAACATTCAAGGATGCACTGCTGACGTACGTAAATCTGCCAGCGCTACTAGGTGCAAAGAAAGAGCACAGTGTTCCACTGAAGGTCTGGTTGATGCCACTGAAGAATTTTGATCATCAGCTTGAGGTGAAAATGGAACTGAGTACTGGGCTTTTGGGAAAGGTTCAAAATGCCCTGGCAGAGCTTCAGAACTTGAAAATAAGATGCAATGATTGTTTGGCAGACAGCTATCAATTCCCGCAGATTTCCAAAGCTTTGGATGCCTTCAAGCAAAGGTGTAGCATGTATGAAGGGATGCCGGGATCTGATGCAAAGAAGATTCCAGGCATCAGGGCAGGAAAGGAAGACGAGAACGAGATGTTGAGAATCTTGAATGAGAAAGAACAGTCTCCATTCAGTTCAGACAAATTAAATAAATGGATGGAAAACATGGAAAGAGAAGTCAAAGTGATCAAGTTCTCTGTTGAGACAATGGCTGGAGTAAACATCCTCCCAAAAGAGTCTGACGTTTTTGAGGAGCTTCTGTCCCCTGAAGCAGAAGATGTCATCTGCTTCGTTTTTACCTCTCTGGAAACGTCAGATCCTTATCTTGACAAAATGGCAGAGTACCTGGAGACAATGGATTTCAAGGCCACAGGGAAAGTCAGTCCAGCCACTGAGGACCTGTGGTACGACTCAGGAGAAGATTTGACAAAAATAAGAGAAAAAGCCGCAGTGATCGGTGAACTTTCTGCAGGTCTGAAGAACGAAGCAAAGTACAGATTTGTAGTAACAGTCATAAAAAACAAGAAATACAAAGGAGCAACCATCTACCACCACAGGAACAACAAGCTGATCACGGAAGATTTTAAAAAACCCGATTTTGTTAATGTAGAAAAAATAACAGAAAGAAGAGATCTCCTGTGGTGTAAGTCACTATTCATTATTTTCATTTTTTGACTAATGTAAAATCAAATTTCTCTGAGCGTCACAAGTTTTCTCAGACTAAAGCCAGGGATTTATATCTGATATGGCAAAGGAGGAGCAGACTGCCTTACAAAGAGAGGAAAGAGAGGTGCATTCAACAAAATGTGTAACATATAACAACATAGAAATATATGTGACATATATGACACCTCAAACATTGAACAAAAAAGTGTTTGGGTCTTGTGACAATGTTGAGCATCCACTTGAATTTGTTGTTATTTAGCAACAGTGTACATGAAAGCCAAGTGGACACGGCACTTCTTACACTGAAGATTATTTAGGAAAGAAATGTTTAGACATTGTCCCTGAGCAGATGTGTAAAGTATGAAGTTACACATTAAATAAAAACTCTTCAGACCTTTTTGGAAATCATGGCCTTGATCAGGTTTTCTGTTTTTCTCCCCCTCAGATGCCACCAGCCTCAATATGGATCCAGACACAGCACACCCAAACCTCGTTCTTGATGGGACCAAGAGAGTGACACACGGAGACAGGCAGTCATATCCCGATAACCACCTGAGATTTGATGAAGTCTACCAGCTTCTGTTCAAAGAAAGGCTGACAAAGCGCCACTACTGGGAGATGAAAATTAACGTTGGCAAAGATATAGATACCGCTGTTGGTGTTTCTTATGAAGGAATACACAGGAAAGGAGGTTTTAGTAAATGGACTGGCATTGGTAAAAGTGCAGTGAGCTGGTCCTTGGGGTGGAGGTGTAGTAATAGACAAGTAGTACAAACCGCAGTGTTCGTAGTCCTACCCTTAATCATATATAATCACATATACATAGAGCATGAAGGAACCTGGACGGAAAAACCCATTCCCAAGACCGGCTTATCCCGTGTTGGGTTGTATCTGGATTATAATGCCGGTTCTTTGTCGTATTATGCAGTCAGAGGTGACAGAGTGGATCACATTCACACTTTCCATGACAGTTTCTCTGAGCCCGTTTACCCATGTCTGAAAATGTGGGGAATAAACGGCTTCGTGGGCTTGTGTCTGTAAAGACATTTGGTTCAGTTTGACACAAAAAAATGACTTAAACAGAGATGTGAGTAATGAAAGCAAAAGTTTACTAGGTAATTTATAACAATCAATCAATTAATCAATCAGTTTCAGACTTCACATCTCTTTTTTTTAGTTTTGATCATAATTTATGTATGACCCTCATGCTGCAATAGAATAAGACTAAAAACAATACGTAGAGTTTTATTTGTCCCTCCTCTGTAGTTTTACTGTCACGTTAAAGTGCAACAATTTTTAAATGGCCCGTTTGACTAAAAGCTGAGAATAAGAAAGCGAAGATGAGGGAAAAAAAATGTTTCTCACCTGCAGACAGGTTCTCACCTCCAGTCTGTGTGACTCAATGCATTCCCTCTTTGCCAGAAAGGAAGTAATGAATCTAAATATAGTTGTTTTTTCTGGGTGAATTTATTTTTCTTCTCGCAGTAACACAATTCTTCTTGTAATGAACTGAACTGAAAGCTGAAAATCCAGTTGGGTTTTCAGGTGATGGACTTGGTTGGGCTTGGATTTATTATCAGTAATAGAATTTGTACTGCAGAGGTTTTTGGAACGGTTCAGACACCAGTGAAACATTTACTAATTGCCAAATAATGGCTGTTTTTTGTTGTTTTTGTTTTTGCGCTTGGATTGTTTCTATAAGCAGTAGATGCCCAAATGAAAGGCAAAATAAGAACATTTTGCATTATATATCTCCTTTGTCATTAACTGTGCAAATTTAAAACAATTACTTTTTTTGCAAGAAAAGACTGCTTGCAACATTTTGTTTTAAATGCTTTTTGTTCACTTATCACATATATGGGATATATAACAGTGTGTAATCTTCCATGATTTTTTTATATGCTTGACATAGGAAAAAATATATGATGTTGCAATAGTTATAGATTTCATGTTACAATTTCTTTTCTTTTATTTTTTACTATTTTACAGCTTTGGTTGAGGTTTAAAGTTTTTGTGGTGTTTGATATTCTGTTTTTTCTATATTCATGTTTTTATTGATTCTTAACTATTAACAGCTCTGCTTTCTTTATTCATTTCCTGCCACATAATGTGGATGTTTGACTTTGATTTTTGAACGACATGATTGCTTTTGAAAAAAAAAAAGTTATATTATTACTTCAATCATCCGACTGTTCTCATGCTTGTAGTCTAATGTTGGGAAATCTAATAAAAAGAATGCAAATAAATCTCTGGATTTTTGTTGTCTCATTATGTATGAATATTTTTGTGATTTCATTAACAAGTAAAAAAAAAGGGGGTGGGGGGAATAAATAAATCTTAAAACAATGGTCCATGGTTCCTTTTGAGTAAAAGGAAAATCAGAGCATGTATATTTAATAAAGATTTAATGTGAACAGTGCAGTTCAAGGTAGTGGCCAGGTGTAGGAAAAGGTAAATAAGGAACACAAACAGACAGTTAGTAAAATGAACTGGCTAAATTTACAAAACACATGAAGTTGAGTAGCAACAGTTGAACTGAGGTTTGAGGGAAACCATGTTTTAAAATATAATTAAAAAGGAGAAGTAGCGAGGTGATTGCTGTGACTTTACCAGGTCAATTGCGCAACACATTTGAAAGAAAACCTCTTATTTCCAAATAGTGGTTTCTTGTTAACGTTGCAATCATCCAGGGGACTTTCATGAATTAGTAACTCATTGTGCTGGTTATAAAAGCAGGTGAGGCTCTGCTGTTGCAGAACTCCACCTGACAGATATCAGATGTTGGATCCTTACAGAAGAGCAATGACCATTAAGGTGAGTTTATGATGTTAAGGCTGGACCCTTGAATGTTCCTCATTTGCTTGACTTGAGAAAAGTTCTAACTCTGCAGACTTGTCGTGAATAAATTGTTCCTCTGCTGCAGCTGTTTATTCTCCTCCTGCTTCCCATGGTGACCATCTGCTCAGATCTCAGCCTCCCAATGGACTGCAATGACGTCTACAACCAAGACACCAGCCGATCCAGTGGAGTTTACACCATCTATCCCATCGGAACCACATCGGCAGTCCAGGTACGCGCAAACCTCCTGGAACGTCAGTAATTAATAATCACATTCTGATTCTTAATGCCTGGAGTTAAAGTTCACATGTTCACTCAACATTGATAGATAATTTAATATGTATTTTTGTTTTTTTTTATAACAATTCTGATTTAAAAAAAAAATCAACAAGCGGCTCAATATGCAGCTGCATCAATTCTTATTAAATTCTTTGTAGTGCTACGTTGTATAATCGCTCCTTCCCTGGAAAAAGAACGATCATAAATCAAATTCATAATCCAAGCAATTATGAATTTGCTTGGATTCATAATTGCCTTATGAATCTATGAGCTCTGATGCGATTCATACATAATGAGGCTCATTGTTTTTACAGCTTTGGTTCAAGAGTCCAGAAGAAGGTCGATCGGGCTTTGTTTATTTTTATTCCTTGTGAAAAACAAGAAACAAGAGGCTCAATATGCAGCTGAATCAGTATGCCGGTTCAATCAGCTGCTATGTTTGTGTCTGCAGGTTTACTGCGACATGGACTCTCTGCAAGGAAAGTGGACGGTAGGGATTGTTTCTTTATGCTGTTTAATTTATTTTTGGGTTTTCGTTCTTTTAGAAGTTTCAAACGCTTCCATTGGAGTTCAACTCAAAGTCATCTGTTGAAATACGACTGTAATTGTACGTATTTTGAATCCCCATCACTATCTTTCGGGTAGGGTTCTTACCTGTAGCCGACTGGCTTCATTAAAGGGAAATAATTTTGAGTTCACAACAAAAAATAACCAGATAGCACAAAGCAAAACCACATCAACACTGTTTGAACTCATTGCAAGAGATTTTGTTATTAGCATGCACTTCTGAAATCCAACTCAAAATGCGTCAAAGCTCATCTGTGTCCAGCTGGATAACCGTCCTCACCTCCCTGCAGGTTTTCCAGAGGAGGATGGACGGCTCTGTGAACTTCTACAGGCCCTGGAATCAGTACAAGTTCGGCTTCGGGAACGCGGCAGGAGAATACTGGCTCGGTGAGACGTGAAGCCGACGCAGCAGTTGTGAAGACCAGACAGAACCCTAACCCGTCAAAGGTTCAGAGAGATCACTCTCTCCAATGTTTGTGTCGTGTTCAAGGTCTGGAAAATGTCTTCCACCTGACCAAGAGGAGATCAGAGCTGCTGATCGACATGGAGGACTTCGATGGAAACAAGTCGTACGCTCGTTACACCTCGTTCTCCGTGGGCCCAGAGTCTGACGGCTACAGACTTCACCTGACTGGATTCACTGATGGAGGGGCAAGTGAGTAGAGACAGAGAAAAGTCTGGCACTTTATTTATCTATCAACAACTTTAATATTTTACCATTTATTTAGTAAAGGAAATAAATAAAACATGCTGGCTAAACAACTTTTTATTTGCTTGGATTCATAATTGCCTTATCAGGACAGGATTCCCAAACGTACATCATGTTCTCTTTTGTTTTACCAAGAAACAAACATTTTTGCAAGATGCTTTGTAATTTAAGAAAATAATGTGCTGCAAGTGTATGTGACTTTCTGTTTCTTCAGGAGACTCTCTGAGTCACATCAGTGGACAGAAGTTCTCGACATTCGATAAAGATCAGGACACCTGGGAGAACAACTGCGCCCGATTGTTCCTTGCAGGGTTCTGGTACTCCGATTGTCACAGTGCGAACCCAAACGGCGTGTACCTCTGGGGGGCCGACAGCACTCTCTATGCCATCGGAGTGGAGTGGATTTCCTGGAAGGGCAGGGGCTACTCCCTGAAGGCCATCAGCATGAAGATCCGTCCAGTGCAGTGAACTGGGACGGGATTTGAGAATCATCAGAAGTTTCCATGAACCCAGAAAGGGATTTCCAGCAATTCCACAGGACGTGATGAAAGAAGCCAGGCGAAAATTTGGACTCCAACAAATACTAGAGAAATAGTATGAGCCATTTCAGAATTGTCCAGCTCAGGCATTGAACTCAGAAGGAGCTCAGATCCCCTGAATCAGCAACTTTTTAAAACAGCTGCAGTATCCCCATTCATCCATCAGATGTCGCTATTCCACCTGTCAGAATTTCTTCTGTTTCTGTCAGTAAAACTACTTTGATTCGTGAGCTAAATAATAACCTGTTGTTGACTGAAGAATAGGATCATGTTATCTGATAATTCTTTTAACATTCTATATGTAGTCCAGATGTGAAAAAACTGCTCATTCATCCTCAAACTTGTGTCATTACAGCCTAAGAAAACCTTTCAGTGTCGCTGCCTGTGAGAATGAAGTGAAATTATTCCATTGTAATTATTAAATGTTGAGTTTGTTGTTTTTAGTTAAAGTGGACATAAAAAATGTTTTAAAAAGTCTTAGTGCATGTGCAGTTATTGTTGAGTGAGATGAAGCTGGATGCAAACAGAACCCCACAGCTGTAAAAGTAAAACACCCGAAGTTTGCAGACATGTCAGTGCTAAAATGTAAGCGCCTATAATAAATACTCATCAATTTATAAAGGATTACCAAGAAATCTTAATTTGCCATTACGCCTGGCTTTGAAATTCCATCTGAGCAAATAGATCCAAGTAAAATGTGAACTTATTGTCATACATTCCTAATTGGTCAACACTTACTGAGTTTTTTTTTTTTATAAAAGCAGCTCATGCACATTGTCTTGTTAGAGCCATCCAGGAGGACTGTGGTGATGGAGGTATAATTTACACATATCATGCATGTTTATTAGTTTAGCATCATACTAAGTTCAAATTATTGCCATTTTCCAACAAAACTCTTAGAGCCTGTTGGACACACACTGAGATTCATAGTCAATTCTATGAATCTGAACCTGCCGTGTTAGTGTGACTCTCTATATTTTCTGGGGGTTTTTATGATCAACCTTCATATCTGTCTTTCTTCGCTGCAATATCACTACTTTCCCTACTTCAGGGCATAACCTTAGACATAGTTTAAGAAAGTCAGAACAAATCCCTGTTGAAAGATTACCGTATCAACGACAATAAACGATATGTGTAATCAGCACACTGGCGAATGTGTAAAGTATCATAAGTCAGTTGCAATTGCAACGATATTTGAACTTTTGCTGTAGATGTTCAACCCAAACTCAAGTAAAATATTCAGAGCCTAGTGTCTCTTTACAGTTGCCAAGATATCTCAAAAATACTTGAACACATTTGTTCCAGCAACTCCTGCAGAATCAAAAAGCTTCAACTGTCACACTCATCTCATCCACTAGATGTCACTGCTCTATTTGTCAGCATGATTGAGTGAGCAGATGCAGATCTCTGCAATTTAAACTTTGTGACGGTGACTTGTGGACTTATTTATGTGTCAGACTTGTGCTTGGATTTTTTTTTCCTTTTTGGACAATTCAGTTAGCTATACATCAATTCAAACCTTCATTACCTTCATTTTATTAATGTGCATGTCGTGAGTGGCTCCACATAAACAACTGACAAGTACAATACATTACAAAAGAATTTAATAACTTTTTTTGTCCTTCATGATTGTACGCAACAAAAAATACAAAATATATTGTGTGAATTTACAAAAGATAACTATTTTCTCTAAGTGTACAGGATGTTTGAAACACTAAAACATGTTCAAACATACATTTAAAATCATTATAATTGAAGTTCTATTTTAATTATAGTGTGAATAGTAACGTTACTTTGGATGTTTTAGCTTTTTACTTTAGAATAACTTAAAAGTTTGACTTGGATTTCTTGCTAAGTGAAATAAATCTGAGTTATTTATTAGAAAAAATAAATGATTTGAGTAAGAGTGACTTGTATTTGTCATGTTAAAATTAATAATTAAGTTATAAGAGCTTAGTAAAGCTAGATAGATAAACTATGAATCGGGTTGGATGACCACAATTGTGAATCTGGAGGTGCGCCTTCAGCTTCTCCACCAGGGGCGCCGTGACACTGCAGGGGGGCGTGACTGGTGGTTCCTCACTTACTTCATCGGGAGGAGTACTTCTGGAGGATCACGCCAACACTCCAGTGTCAGAGTTTTGCTCGCCTATGGTAGAACCTGTGCTAAGTTAACCTCAGACCCACCAGTTTCCTAACGTTTTCCGTGTTCTCCTGGCAGTCTGTTCCACCTGGATTCTCGTTGGCCAGGAGATTCGTCGAGACCGTGTGCTCTGGTCCTCCGTGTGGCTCCTGAAAACCGCTTCTCCAATCC